ATATACTTGAAGCTCAAAAAATTAAATCCCCCAACAACAAATCCTCAAAGAAACCACTGCCCAATAAATAAGTGGGCTAATGACTTAAGAGAAACTTCTCTGAAGAAGAAAGAAGGATGGCAAATAGACACATGAAGAAATGCTCAACATCCCTAGCCCTAAAAGAAATGCAAATCAAAACAACATTGAGATACCACCTCACTCCAGTTAGAATGGCAAAAATCAAGAACTCTAGCAACAACAGATGCTGGAAGGGATGTGCACCAGAAGGGAACCTTACTTCATTGTTGGTGGGAATGTAAACTTGTTCAACCACTTTGGAAAGCACTATGGAGGTTCTTCAAAAGACTTCACATATTGCGCCCCTATGACCCAGCAATCTCACTTTTGGGCATTTACCTAATGTTTACAAGCAAGACCACACTAAAGCTACCAGCACAACTATGTTTATTGCAGCATTATTTACCATAGCTAAGATATGGAACCAACCCAGATGCCCCTCAGTAGATGAATGGATCAAGAAAACGTGGTATATATACACAATGGAATTCTATGCCTCCATCAGAAAGAATGACACTGCCCCATTTGTTAGGAAATGGAAAAACTTGGAAAAAATTATATTAAGTGAAGTAAGCCAGGCCCAAAGAAACATAGGTCCCATGGTTTCCCTTATTTGCAATATCTAGTATATGTATGAGTCAAGCGGAAAAGGTCAGATAATGTGATGTTAGGAAAATGAACCCTTAGATATGTATTTTAATGTTTTTTTCTTTCATGCATGTGTTTCTAGTACGTTTATAAGATTATTTCTTTGTTGCTTTGTATGTCCCTCCCCCACAGTATAATCCCTGTTTTCACTATACTTGGTGTCAGTGTAACTTGTGGAGGAGATGGGGAAAAACAAACTGTTTAAGGATACAGGTAGACCTGTTGCAACAATGAGAAATACAGGTTGTCATGTCAAAAACGAGCTTTACAACGTTGGTGGGGGGGGGAGGATTGTGTGAGGTGTGGGGGGGTGGCTGAGAAGGGATGTGAAGGGTAAAGAAAGGAGGAGGCTGCAAGTCTTGATAAGAAATGTATGCATTATCCTGGCATGTAATTGTAACCCCTCTGTACAGTATGTTCACAAAAAAAAATAAAATAAAATGAAAAAAAAAGAATTCAAAGGAAAAAAATCTGGCTATGCCTTCTTGGTTATTAAAATTGTAAATGGAAATAAAGAAATCATCAACTGAAAAAATAAGAAAAGAAATGTACTCATTACATTGCTCATGTAATTGTAACACCTCTGTACAATATTTTCACAATAAAAAAACATTAATAGAAAAAAAGAAAAGAATGTATGGACTAATAGAATAAATATTGCAATATCTTTTTTTTAAGTGTGACTACCCTATTCTGGGAGCCTTGTGCTCTTCAAGTATGTCCAGAATCCCAGACAAGGCCTCTAGCTGCTCCTGGAACACATGTCTGGAGGCAGTGCCAAAGGTTTCATAGCCACTCTCAACAAAAGTGAGAAGTCCTTCCATTTGCAGAAGGCCAGGGCTCAGGAGGACGACTCAGCCATGTCCTGCTGTGCTCTAAGTGCACAGTAGCTGTTCTGCAAGGGAAGCAGAGCACAAACCCTCAGACTTACAACTCTGTCTGTGGTCAGTGTAGGGCCTGCTCCTCTAGGGAGCCAAATTGAGTTTAACTCTTAGAAAGGAATGCCGTCCATGGTTCATTAGCTTCAGATGGAACCAGAAAATTATCCACAGTCATTCTCATTTCCTTCTTGTTTGAATTAGTTTTAAAAAATAAGTGTACATATATTTTTGAAGTGCTCAGGAAAGAACTTTTCCAATGATAACAATATAGCTAAGCTTAAAAAAAATCATTGTTTTCTAGGCCAAATTGGCTTTTGAAGGTTAAGAGGAAACATCCACCTTTCTATTTTCCCTGCATTGGAACCCTTAGCCTCCTTATCCTTCCAGATCTGCTGGCTCAGCTGTGACTGCTGATTTCTGCAACCAGCATTCTTTCTTCTCAGGCTCTTCACTGCATCCTAGTTAAGTCAAGGTCTGGCCAAGGGAAGAAGCAGCAAAGTTATTTGAAAAGGGAATTTTCATATGAAAGCAATTAATAAAATCAGGGATAAGCTAGGTGCTGGTGGCTCAGACCTGTAATCCTAGCTACTCAGAGGCTGAGATCTGAGGATTGCAGCTCAAAGCCAGCCCAGGCAGGAAAATCCATGAGAATCTTACCACTGATTAACTGCCAGAAAACAAGAAGTGACACTGGGGGCCTGGGAAGGTGGCTCAGTGGTAGAGTGCCTGCCTTGCAGGCACAAGGCCCTGGGCTCTTCAGCACCATATAAGCAGAAAAAGCTGGAAGTGACACTGTGGCTCAAGGGGTAGAGTGCTAGCCTTGATCTGAAGGGCTGGGGAACAGCGGCCAGGCCTCGAGATTAAGTAACCCAAAACAATAAAATAAGGGTTAGCTACTGTGTTAATTTATTTAGCTACACTGTGACCAGAATACCTAAGATAACAACTTAAAGAATGAATTATTTACTTTGGTACACAATTTTAGAGGTTTTATTTTCATCATGGAAAAGAGGGTATGTCAAAACAGAGCTGCTCCCATCATGATAAGGGGGTCTGCCTAATCTACCACTTTTCTCCTTTGTCTCTTTGTTTCATCTAAGCCCCAGCTACATGATTGTGCCTGGTTTCACCCATGTTGGGGTTTCGTGTGTTTCCTGCTTGGCACATCTCAAGCTGTGCTTTAATAATCTGGTATGTGTCCCCATCCAATTTAGCTGATAATCAAGATTATCTGTCACACCCACTAGTATGTCAAATGTATGCTAAAGAATATAGGAATCTATTCTTTAGGAATCTATTCTATAGGAATAGAGCCTCTCCTCCCCAGGATTAAGACAGAGTTGGAAAGAAGGAACAGTTTGAAATAAGCAACTCTGGAATCTGCCAAGGTTATTATTTAGAACTTGTTGTGAATGTGCAGCTGTAGCCCACCAGATCATGATATTTGCTAAGGGGTCTCAAAAAGGCTGGTCTAGCAGAAAACCTTTATGAGGGTCCTGACACAATTGACAGGAAATTTATGAATGGCAGCTGCTGTAAATACCTGGGTGCTTTTGGAAAAAGTCCTAGCAACCTTGTGGAACTGTCAGTGCTCTTCTCTGATGTTTCTCTATGTGTGCCAGGCTCGCCAAAAGAGGAGGAACACTCAGCCCTAAAAAGGAAAACTTCTTCCTCCTAAAATTGTCCTTTCATTCAGATCTAATGACAAAGCCACATATCATGCCAAATGGCCAAGGAAAAGTATTTATAGGGCTCAGATCCCATATCACAGACAGGGAGTAAAGGGTTGATTTGCAGCTAAGAATCAATAAGCTGATAACCGGCACTCTGCATCTCCTTGCCAATTGTTTTCATATGTACCTGTCTTTAAAAAATAGTCATAACCTCTTCTAACAGGAACACAATCTGCCTTGGATTAGGGTCATTCTAAAGACCACAGTTAAAGACCTTGCCTCCAATTACAGCCACATTCATAGATACTTAGTTCTGGGCCTTCAGCATAGACATGCTATGTAAACACAGCTTGATGCATAAGAATGGGCATCTGAGATTTTGTTTCTGTGACAGGTGGTAGATGGCCAAAGGAGGACACAGGGAAACAACAGTTTACAGTCAAGACATCCAGTTCAAGTATCAAGTTCAAGATCTACTTACCCTGCAGCTGTTAAGGTCCTCTGTAAAATGTGGACAATATATAGTAGTAATGCAGTGCTATCTTTCCAGAGTTGCGGAAAGCTTTTGATGAGATAACAAAATAGCATTAGAGCAGCACCTGACAGTAATGACTTAAATCTCTTGTTGCTGCATATATTAGGTGCTGGTGATGAGTGGCCAAGCTCATGTTACAAATCCTTTAGAAAGTTTTAAAATTGGGCTGGGAATGTGGCCCAGTGGTAGAGTGCTTGTCTAACATGCATGAAGCCCTGGGTTCAATTCCTCAGTACCACATACACAGAAAAAGCAGGAAGTGGCGCTGTGGCTCAGGTGGTAGAGTGCTAACCTTGAGCAAAAGAAGCCCAGGGACAGTGCCCAGGCCCTAAGTTGAAGCTCCATCACTGGCCAAAAAAAAAAAAAAAGAAAGAAAGTTTCTAAATTGATTTTAGGATATTCTGTGTATAAATCAGAGACAGAGATGGAGAAGAACAGGAGGATGCATTGTTACTAATTTTTGACTCAGGAATTACTTTGCAATAAATGAAAGTCTACTATTTTGGGGGGGGGATGGCTGTAATTGCAAGATGATGGAGATAGCAGAGCAGCAGGTCAGCAGAACCGCAGATGCCCACTGTTGTTCTTTGTGACAGCTTTATAGGCCCCACCTGTAGTGCTGGCCCTCAGGAGAAGGGCCTCACAGTAAGGCTCTGCAGAGTGAATTTCTGTCTTGTTCCTGACTGCATAGTGTTTGAGTCCAGTTCCTCAACCCTTCTTGGCATTTTGAGTCAAACTCAATCACTTTCTACCTAGTCATATCAGAGTCCATGTCCTTGACCATCCACAGAAGCAAAGGTATTTTATTTTCATTCAAGATACTTTGATAACGATTATAGTTGTTATAGGAAACCTATATTTCTCAAAGCTCTTTCTGTAAATCTTATCTCCAGCATTCTTCCCTCAGAGATCTCTTGCCTGACTTCAACTGCATCTGTTCCTCCTCCAAGCTGGAACCACAGTTCATAAAGGCAGAAAATGGAAAAGCTGCTTCAGCTCTGAGCTCTTGTCAGAGTGCTGTAGCCACCACTAGAGGGCAATGCCTCTTTCTTCTCTGAAGCCCTTGGTTTCCAAGCATCATCAATGGTGTGTGTGTGTGTGTGTGTGTGTGTGTGTGTGTGTGTGTGTGTGTGTGTGTGTGCTTTCACATGTAGTCAAAGCAAATAAGCGATCTGGACTCTGACTGGCTTGCTGTGGCAGGAAAGCTAAGTATCTTCTTAGAAACAGGAATTCACTCGTGCCTGAGAAATCAGCTCCATTTTCGTGTCCACAGTTGCATCTCCTGTGATCTTAAAAGGACAGAAGGATGGGGAAATTCCTGAGAGTGTTCTTGGTGACTCTGTGGCTTCATGTGGCAAGTGAGTTTTGACTGCTGGTGATGGAAATTGGGACATTAAATCTCAGAGGCCGTATGGTTTACAGTTGAATCTTCTTGTTGGAGATGGAATGTAATATGAAAACTGACTAACTCACCAGTCTCTGGCTTGTTTTTCATTCTAGGGGTGAACAGCCAACAAGCAGAAGAGAAAACTCAGACTCTGAGCATCCAACCTGGTGAAAATGCCACCATGAACTGCAGTTACAAATCTAGCATAACTGTCCTGCAGTGGTACAGACAGGATTCTGGCAGAGGACCCACCATGCTAATTTTAATAAGGTCAAATGAGAGAGAGAAAATCAGTGGACGGCTAAGAATCACCCTGGATACCTCTGCTAGAAGCAGTTCCCTGTCCATCTTGACTTCCCAGCCTGAAGACACTGCTGTTTACTTCTGTGCCACAGATGCACAGTGTTCAGTGTGCACCTGCAGCCTGACTCTAACCTCACCAGAGCTTCTGCCTAAAGGCCTCAGCACTGAGAGAGCTGTGTTATGTCTTCTTATGTCTTCCTATGAGTGAGAGTCTAAGATAAGTATGTGGAATCCTCTCCTACTGATGTATTTTGGAAATACCTGAAATTTTGCCAAGGTCTAGAATGTGGAATGGGGAAAGAAATGTCAGGCTCAGATCTGGCCCTCCTGCCAGCTGACCTCAAGCTCATCTTCAGTGCAATGGCCTTCTAAGTCCTCAATTGTTGTGAAGGGCAAGGATTCCTAAGTACCAACTATTCTCGATTTATGTTCAGGTTAACTAAGAAAGGGAAGCCCTGGGTACTTGGTGTGTGTGAGCAAGGACTGCTCAAGACTGGAAGATGCCCTCTGTACTATGTGGGGGATAGCAAAGATGGCCCTGAGAGGAAGTTGAGTGGGCAGAGCTGGATTTGTTTAGGTTCAGTGTGTAAACATCTCATGGAAGCTTAGGCGCATGATAAGGTGTGGCCTTTCAGTGATTGGTTGGTTCCATTTCCCCTCCTCCCACGCAGTCTTTTGCTTTAAAAAGGGGATGCTCCCTGTTAATAAACGAGTTCCTGCTTGGTTTGACTCCTGGCTGCCTCTGATTGTCTCCTGGGATACTGGGCTAAGGGAGGCTGGGAAACGGGCGAGCAGCTACCTCTCCCAACAGTACTATGCATAGCCTCTGGGCCAAGTCAGGTCTTTGTGATGCTGAGGCACTCTAATTTTCCTGCAGTTCTGGGGATTGAGTCAGATCTCAGGACACACACAGCCATGTCTTTCATTTCACAATGAGAACTGGAGCCAGTGTATAAGAAGAGAGGCAGAGAGCTGAATCTTGTAGTAATGGAACACAAGATCTGACTCTGATCCTGCCATATAAGGGTATGTGATTTCTAGGCCTCAACTTCATAAAATTTCCCCTCTGTGTATAAAGGTATGTGAGTCATGGGGGAGCTCTCTGTTCAGTTTTTTGAGGAACCTCCACACTGCTTTCCAGATTAGTTGAACAAGTTTACACTCCTACCAACAGTGTAGTAGCATTCTCTTTTGGCCACATCTCCTCCAGAATCTGGTGTTATTAGATTTCTTGATTATAGCCTCTCTAACTGGGGTGAGATGGAATCTCAATGTTTTTAATACATATTTTTATTGTAAAGATACTTACAGAGGGGTTACAGTTACATGAGCAAGGTAATGAGTCCATTTCCTATTGAGCATTGTTACCTCCTCCTTTGTTTTTCTCCTACAATCCATTTCCTCCCCACATCCCCAACTCCTCTCTCCCTACCCCCAAAGTTGCAAAGTTCGTTTTCAACATAGTGTCTTGTACATCTCATTGTTACAATGGGTCATCCTGTATCCTTACTTCAGCATTGTGTCATTTCCCTTCCCCTCCCCAAATTAGAAAAATGTATGTACAAAATACAGGACAAGAATCCAATACAGTGAAAACAGGGGTTATGGCTAGAGATATTGAACATTTCTTTATGTATCTATTGGCCATTCTGGGCATTTACCAAAATGACCACAAACAAGGCCACACTAAAGCTACCAGCACAACTATGTTTATTGCATCATAATTTACCATAGCTAAGATAATGAACCAAGCCAGATGACCCTGAGTAGCTGAATGGATAAAGAAAATGTGAGATATATAGATATATATATGTATATATATATATATGTATATATATATACATATATATACATACATACAATGGAATTCCATGCAGCCATTAGAAAGAATGACACTGCCACATTTGTAAGGAAATGGAAAGACTTTGAAAAATCATATTAAGTGAAGTAACTCAGGCCCAAAGAAACATAGGTCTCATGGTTTACCTTTTTTGAATAATTAGTATACACCTAAGATAACCTTAGCATATGAGAAAAGTAGCTCAATAACTATGTACATATGACCATATAAGATGATACTAACCAAAATGAACTCCTGCTGTCATTGTATTAGATTTTGGGCTCCTGGGTATTGCATATATATATATACATATATATACACACACACACACACACACACACACACACACACACACACACACACACACACACACACACACACACACACACACACACACACACATATATATTATCTGAACTGGGGAAGAGAACAACAAAATGGTGAGACAAAGGGGAAAGTGGAAACATATGCAACAGCGATACTCACAAGACAGTATGTTGGAACTGATCTGCACAACTTGGGTGGAGGGGGTTGCAGGGAGGGAAAAAGGGACAAAATGAGGGAGGGAGGTAAGAAGTCAGACAAGAAATGTAATCACTACCTTACATTTGTGTAACTGTAACTGCTCTGTACATCACCTTGATAATAAATTTTTTTTAAAAATTACAGGTAGTTTTTTACCTGTAATCCTAGAGACTCAGGAGGCTGGGATCTGAGTATTGCAGTTCAAAGCCAGTTCAGGCAGAAAAACCTGAGACACACTTATCTCCAATTAACTACGCCCCCCCATAAAAAGCCAAAAATGGAGTTGTGGCTCAAGTGCTAAATTTGGGGGAGGAGGAAGCTCAGCACAGGTATCACTGGACAGAAGTGAGGTTTAGTAAAATTTACCTTTAAATTTAGGAACTCTTCACTTAGGGTCCTTGACTTCGATTGCAGAATAAGAATTTCTGAGCAAGTCCTAATGGTTGGAAAACTTGGCAGAGCTTTATTGAGTAAGTAAACAAGCAGGCACACAAACAAATGGACAAAAAATGGAAGTACATGAAGGAATATCTCCTATATTTGCTGTTAGCTGACCTATCTCATTTCCCTCTAGTCTATCTGGCTTCCTGTCCTCTAAAATGACATTGTTCCCTTCATCTTAAGAGAAGTAAATAGACAAGCTGTAAGCTTGAGTCTTTGAATCCTTGACAGCCATTTACCTTGCCTCATTTTCCCTAGGCTATCCTGCCTCACAGGGACAGTATCCAGGCCCAAGATTGACACACAAAAAATTTAAGACATTGAATTTAAACTCCTTTGTATAACTACTGGAAATAAAATATAAAGATATTAAAATATTCTAAAATAAATTAATAAAAATAAATCTTTAGAAAAATTTCTCCCACTTTTTTTTTGGGGGTGGGGGGGGTCCGGTCGTGGGGTCTGAACTCTGGGCCTGGGTGCTGTCCCTCAGCTCTTCAGCTCAAGGCTAGCGTGCTACCACTTGAGCCACAGTGCCACTCCTGGCTTTTTTCTTTTTGCTTATGTGGTGCTGAGGAATCGAACCCAGGGATGCATGGCAAGGCAAGCACTCTACCACTGAGCCACCTTCCTAGCCCCTCTCCCACTTTTTTCTTGTCAAGGTGATGTACAAAGGGGTTATAGTTAGATAGATAAGGCCATAAGTACATTACTTGTCAACCTTGTTACCCCTTCCCTCGTTTTCTCCTACTTTCTCTCTCCACCCCCCACCCCCCAAGTTTTTCAGAGAATTTCCAACGTATTTTCTTGTGTATGCTGTTGCATTGTTTCCCTCCTTGTCCTTTGTCTCACCATTTTGTTGTTCCCCTTCCCTTCCCTAATTCAAATAGACATATATATATTACCAGGGTACCAAAATCAAATACAGTGACAACAGGGGATACACCATTGAGGGAAGACCATACAAAAGAAACAAAAAATCACATTGTACATTAAAAACAACAGAGACATGTGTCCAGGTTTTGTAGAAAAAATTTTAAATGCAATGTCTTGAAAACAGATTTTTTTAAAGCTCAAGCGTATCTATCACTTTTCATGTTTTTATTTTGGGCCTTCTAAGACATGTGGGTGATGATTATAGTTTTGTTCACAGTCTTGACACCATTGAATTCATGTGTGGAGGAAATCAGGGTCTTTCTATTCATGCTCATTTGGTGAGGAGTGAGTCGGATGGTAGGAGAAGTAAGGTTCATGGCAGAGCTCTGAAAAGCAGCCATGCACTGCCCCACCAGTATTTCCTGTATCAAAGGCATCCAGAGCCCCAGGGAAGGTCTGGGCTATTCACCTCTATGCTGACTTACTAAATCAGTCTCTCATGAAGTAAAACATTTATTGTATTGTTTTGTTTTGTTTTGTGTTTCTGGGGTTTTGACATGGGGATATGGGCTTGTTATACAATCACCTGCCCCCCCCCCCGCCATTTTATTGTAAGATAGGAGAGAACCTTGAATAATTTATGCTTTATCTTCCTAATATACTATCTCTTTCTTTCTCTGTTCCTTCTTCCCTCCCTCCCTCTCACTCTCTCCATCATTCAACTAGCAATTGATAGCTCTCTTCTACCAAATGTCTTCTGCTTCTTTTGCTGCATAACAATATTTTCATGTTAACGTTTTACTTTGAATTTTATTCATGTGATATTTTGCATTATTTGGTAATTGTGTAAACCTTACAAGCAAAATAAACTTCTTTATTTTAAGCTTTTTGTGTATGTTATAGGGTTACCACATTGAAATTTAGGTCTTTCACGTGCTCCATTTACTCACACTTGCTAGGCTCCTACTCTATCACTTGGTCCACATCAATAATCTCTCTTTTGCTGATTATTTTGGAGATAGAGTTTCAGAGACTTTTCTGACTAGGCTGCCTTCAAGTAGCAATCCCCCACATCAAGGCCTCCTGAAGAGCTAGGATTATAGGTGTGAGCCACCAGTATCCACCTCAAGAGTAAGATTACTTAATCCATTTGTGCTCATGAGCACATCAGTGACTCCATATCTCAGCTACTGTGAATAGTGCCCTACAAACCAGTGTGCTGGTGTCTCTTTAGCTTGCTCATCTCACTTTCTTTGGATGGCTGGATGCAAAAGTATGACAGTTTTATTTTGGTTTTCTGAGGACTTCCATATTGTCCACTAAAATGATATAAACTAATTCTTACTCTCAGCATGCAAGAATTCCTTTTTCCTTGTAAATTAATGTTTTTCATGATCATCATTTTATCTAAGGAGAGATGGTTCATTCTTCTTTATAGATTATTTTTTTTTATTTTTTACAGGTGTTTACTCAGTTCACTTGGTATTTTAATTCCAATACTTCTTTATTTGTTGTCATATTTTTAT